TCTGTGCAGAGGAATATTTACTAAGGCTTTCTGAAAGCAGTGTTTGTCTTGTGCCTTGAAAGGCAACACTGGGAAAGAACTAATGGTTTGGACACTGTAGAAGTAGCCCATGTTTGCATGATCCCCTTTCTGAAAGGACATAAAAATGGAACAAATTTATTTGGAGATGAATAAAAACACTCTCTGAAGAGTTAAGGTACTAGAAATACCATTGTATTTAAATTTATAACCAGGTATATGAAATTCTTTCTCTGTGTGGAAAAGTTCTGATTTTCCAAAGGAACACATGGGGAAAAGAAAACTTTTTCTACTGTAATGGTATTTATGTGGTCCTGAATGAACTGAAAAATGAGTCAGTTGTAACACAGATGAGTTTTAAACTTCACCTTTAATAAATGTGAAATAATTTCTCGTAATAACATTTTGCAAATGCTTTAAAGATATTAAGTGCAAATTGGGATTTTTTCCACACACTTTAGTAAAGTCATTCCTGGTACAGGTCTCCTGGCTGCCCCACCTATAGCTGTTGGCCATTATGATTCTACTCTGCTTTTCACTGGAATTGGGCTGGAATGAGCTTGGGCCGCTTCCACGAAATGTCAGGGTCTCCACCAGTGTATTTGCAATGTTTATCATTTTGAGGAGCACCAGTCTGGCTGGGAGCACACAGAGAMGAGGGGAACTTGTCCATCTGTTATGTCAGATTTTAGCTTCTAGGGTAAGTTTATCCATATTTCACGATGCTCCCTGCCTGGGGAGCTGCTGCCCAGGCTCGGGCTGTTCTTTGAGAGCCGTGGGAACGGCACCTTTCCCTGCAGATAACAGATCATGTCTGAGCTGCACCTTCGGGGGGCTCTTTTCTGCAGAGATGATCTAAAGTTAAGGACAGGTGGCTCAGAAAAACAAATAATCTTAGGTTCTTTTTGGTCTTTATCAAGTAGTCCCACTTGGTCTAAATCAGGCTTTAAGGCTTTTGTTTGCTCTAATGCAATTACACATGTTTTTTACTCAGACTCCAGTGAGCCAGACTTTGGCAGCAAGGCTGGATAAGCTTTCTATAGGTTTTTAAAAGCAAAATGCATTGTGCTGCTCCCTGGGAAAGTGTCTTCCTTAAAAACGTCTAATCCTCCCTTCCTTCCCATCAGTTGTGAACGAAACTATCCGTGGCATACACTGACAGTTCGTGAGTCAATTTGTGTTTTACCTAAGAAAGAAGTTTGTTTTCTTCTGTGCAGAGTGTAATGCATTTAGAGATGTCTTTTTCATTTACAGTGTGGGAAGTAAACCACAGATCCATTATATCCCTCTGTCCTTTGGGGATTCCAATAACATGAGCACAGTCATTCCAGTTCAAGGATTTCTGGATAGGAAAAACTATTGTGGGGAAGAATTGTGTTAATGTGCAGAAATGTGCAGATCTTTAGAGCAGTTTTATAGCTTTTACCTAACCTAGTGAAAACTAGCAATGAAATTATGGAGCGGAGAACTGGGAATTTCAGTGTTCGGAATAAAAATGAAATATGACACATTAATATTTACACACAAGTACATTGCACAAAAGTGGGGTGACACGACGCAAATTGCAGCAGTATTGGGAAAAAAGAGTTGAAGATCTCTCTCTCTCTGTGTAGTGAAGGCAAAAGTGAAGCTCACTTCCCAAAAAAACCCCCACAAGTTCTCTGAGATGCATTATTGGGAGATATATATGTATTTGTACATACACACACTCCAGAGTGCAAATGTATGAGTGAGTGRCTGTTTCAGCAGGATGTATTTCATCGTGTATATGCTTGTAGAGACTTCCATCTCTGCAAGCTCTTTATTTGAGCAAGCCTTAGAGTTTTCAATTTATGTACAAAAGGGCTTGGAGACCTGGGAAAAGGAATGAATGAATGATGCTGCCAAGACTTGCACTGTGCCAGATTTTCTTTGTAATTACGTGGTGCTTGGCAAAGGTGAGGCTGGAAATCTGTGTTGTCTGWCAGCATGGGATCATCCCTTGGGAACAGAAATGCTGTGCTCTGGGAAGGAAAATGATTGTGTTTTTCCTGCCTGTCTCRTGGCCAGACCTGAAATCCTACAATGAGATGTTATTTCTGAGCTGTGAAAACCACGTGAAGGGATCTTTTTGCCATTAAAGCAGACAGCTTAATGATGTACAAAAAAACCCTCCTCAATGAGTTTTTGATGGCTTTCTTCATGATTTTGGGATTCAGTCAGAAGAGATTTATGGAGCTACTAACATGGAGTAAGGAYTGGAGTCAACTTGAGAAAAGACAAGAAGGTAAGTCAGAATTATCCCTTAAAGGACAGTGCAAAAAAGTGGTCAGTCATTAAAATCTTCATTCCCCCCCCATCCTCCTTATAGAAGTAATAGCCACTCAAAAGACCAGGTTAAATAAGAATTCAGCAGGAATTAGATGGGCTTTACTATGACATTTACCAACCTCATGTCTCCCTCCAAATGGAGAATGGATTCTGGGTTTCAGGGCAGAGAAACCCCACTGAACTTGTGAGGGCACTTGTAAGGGCAGGGAAGAAAAGATCTCTTTCAGAATGAGGCTTGAAATTCCTGCCAGAAACCTTCAGCTGAACTGTGTGCTGTGAGGCAGTCTCAGTCTTAAACTGACCAGTCTTAAAAAGTGACCAGGAAATTACAACATTTGGAGCCATAGAGTGACTTTGGGTCAGGCAATCTGCAGCCTTAGCACAGTATCCATGGAGGGCTGTAACAAAGTTGAAGGGAGGTGCTACTCGTGTTAGAAATGAGCTCTGATGCAGGTGAAATTTTCCAAACATCTAGTATTGGTAACAGTCTAGCTATTCAGGATGCTCAAAAGTTATACCAAACAATTTTATTTTAAGCTGAATGCAACTAATAAAATGTTGGTCATGATCAAAATGAAAAATAGTGAAATTATTGGCGAGAAGTAGGCGATATAACACAAACACAAAAAAAAAATAGATTGTTTTTATTATTATTCAGCACTGTAAAACACAATAATGAATAGCCAGGGCATGAGAAAACTCATTTGAGGTGGTGTCTGGGCTGGTGTCACAGAACAGCTGTATAGCGCACTCCAAAGGAAAGCTCAGTGCCTCAGGTTTGCTGACTGAATTCACTTTCCCAGTCCCAGCTTCTGTGGGTGAGCAAAATCCACGAACCCACAACCACCCCCTCTAATGAGCTGCATTGGTGTGGAAACCCTGAGCACCTGGACAAAGCTGGGGAAGCCTCCTAACCTCAGGAAAAAATGGAAATCTGGAAGTGAGCTGCATCTTGTACTTGAGGACAGACCACAACTCCTTTGCATCTAGACAAGAGTGTAGAGTCACACTGTAAATCTTCTGTTTATTCAGTCACATTCACAGTGATACCTGCCGGGATAAGAAAATAGAATTGTCGAAGTCAGGGCTGTAAAGTGGTTCTTGGTGTTTCTTTTTGTCCCACAGCTTCAAACCCTGGTAGGTACCTGGAGGGGAGCCCCTGGTAGATGCATCCCTCTCCTTGCTGAGGGACAAAAGGAGGTGAAAATATCAGTTCACCAATAATTTTTGAGTATGAATCCACACAAAATAGTTACATTGAGCCAAGCCCAAAGTAATACAAATGGCAGCTCATTTTGTGACAGTATCTTCCATAATATTGCAATCATTACTTTGATTTTTTGAGTAATTTTTGCAATCTGAAAGTGCACATATAGATAAGTAGGTGTGTGTGTAAAGCCTCACTGCTGTTAAAGCACATGTGCACTTTGCCATATGCAGTAATTCTGAAATTTCTTAACAATCTCAGACACATTCTTTCTCAAAGCACTCTSAAATATAAAGGATTCTACAGAATGGCTCAGGGCAATACAGCTTTCCTGCAATAACACATGAAAAATGGTGCAGTAATAAGTATGATTGCTCCCTCTCATGTACCTGGAGTTGTTGTTGTTAAAATGGTAGCTCAGACATCTGATCCAGTTTGTAATACCAAACACACCAAAAGTTTTGTCATCTTTACATAAAATATGACCAACCATTTTTGGTAACAAAAATCAAACCAAGCCCACCTTTATTGCACCTACATAGAATATGTGACTATGGTGTACTGCAGAAGTTTTCATCATTTTAGGGTAACTCTTATGCTCATTAATGCTCCAAAATAATTCCAGTCTCACGCTGAAAAACTGATCTTTGAGTAAWGATCCTAGTTTTACTTAGAATCTTCTGGAGAAGACTTTAGATGCTGCAGTAATATAAATTAATAGGAGAACCTGTGAATGGGTTTTAAGTGGCACCGTGGACTCTGTCAAGAGTTCATCTCAGATAAACATTTAGCACATSATGTTTATGTAAAGTTCAAAATATCTGTTCATAAACTTCCTCCTGGATACAGCTGCTTCATATTACACACCTCTGATTTATACTGGTATAAAGACAAATGATCACTGTGAACCTGTTGGGAATTAGATTAATTCCAATTATTTTGCTATAGGTTCTTGACTCTTGCAGACTTCTGTTTGAGCTCTCAGACAGGTTACCTTCCAGACAATTGCCTGGATGAGATTTTGGAGGCAGGTGTTAACTGTGGAAACTTACTTAGTGTTAAACTTACTCGTCTGTTGCCACCGACTTTGGAGACGATACTTTTATTTTTTCTTTTGGTCATTGTCCTTCACAAAAGACCTAATTGAAAATATCTGTCAAATCATGTCTCTGGTTTCCCTCTTCACCCCCGCCCCCCCCAATTAATTGGACACGTATTGTGTTTGTGTGGGAAGGAAGGAGGCTCCGTAGCAGGGTGACAATATTGCTGGGAAAAGAACATTAAAATGGATGAAGGGATTTCMTGGTGGTATAAATACCTGCACACGACCTCCCTGTGCTCCGGAGCCCTCCTGTGTGCGCATATCCAGGCAAAAAGCCTGGAATAGAGTTTGAGGAGCCACCAATCCTGCAGGATCTGCTCTGGTAGAACACGGGACAGGYGGCTCTCTTGCCTCTTGGAGGGTATGAGCTGCCAAGCATTTRCTTCCTCAGACACCTTTGTGCCCTTGAATTCTGAGTCTTCTCCCTCTCTGCCTCTGATAATGCATCACAGCGCCGCAGAGTGCCTGCAGGTCTCCAACCACACCACCAATGTTGTGTCTACAGGTACTTTTTGGAAATACTCTTGCTCTCGGTAGCTCTCATTTACAATATTTTTGGTTTCACCAAGCTCTGCAATATTTAAAGTATTCAGTATCAATGCTCAGTGGGATTGGGACTACATCAAAGTAGAAGCGATTTCACAAAACTCTGCATAGGAGTGAATCAGGAAAACAGCAAATATTTGTGTTTAACTAAATAYGTTGTTTTCTCTAAGTTTGTTACAAGATTACACTCAAATATGCTACCAGCTTAGAAGAGGTTTAAATACTGTTGTTGGCATGACTATAGTCTTCAATGACAAGTGTCATGTAAATTAATTGAAAGCTAATTTATTATACAACCACAACTTAAAATATTATAAATTACTTTAAATAGAAATTATATTCAAAAGAGCTCAGGTAGGAATATTTCTTGGGTGGCTTTTAAAGAAGGAAAAACTTATTGCGAATGGAACCAAGGCTAAGATTTAAGTGGGATATTCAAAATTGGTAATAGAAACCTTATCAATATTTTTGAATTTTGTACATTTGTGTATATAATCCAATTAGAAGCATTTGAATACAAGGGCTATTTAACTTCTGAATATCTGAGACAAAGAGAATTTTAATACTGCAGAGGTAAGATTCAGGAATAGAGGAATTGCTTATGGAAAGCTTTCAGGAACAGAAAAAGAAATAGTTGATTTATTTGAAATTGCATTAACATTAGAATTTTATTTGGAGTCTTAACAAGAAATCAGCTTTTTCCCAAAAAGCATTGGTAATAAAACATTTTAATGAAAAGAAAAAGCATGTAAGGGGTGAAAACTGGTCATCGGTAACAGATAACAGGATCATCTTATACATAAAGCAAGAGGCTCAAAATATCCCAATACAGCTCTGGGTTAGCAATAGTGGCAGGGAATAGGAGAATTTAAATTTTGTATGAGGTCAAATTTATGTATCTGTATCACAGCAGTATTTTCTTGATTCTTCTGACTTGTAATGGAAAGGACACGGTGACAGCCAGCCCAAAGCCCCTGCTTGCCTGCTGCAGGTTTAGGTTCTGGTGTTTTGTAGCTGCCACTCAATGACAAATGCCACCGCAGTCAGGGAAAATTTTGATTTCAGGATCACATCCAGAAGATGATCCTGTGAAGAAAATGACCTTGGGAAAGCAGAGACAGAGGGTGGTAACTGTAACAAGTCAAGATTTACAAATTTCATACATAGATTCAGGACTTGTAAGAAACAAATCCACTTGGGTGAAAGAAGGTGAGGACACAGTGTAATGGTGAAATAATTTTGAATAACTTATTTTAARTGTTAAAAGTTTTAAAAATATATATAACAATTCTGTGTTTCACAAGAAAGATATAAATACCTCTGTTAAAATATTACGCCATATCATTCAACTGATGTTCTGCAGTGTCCCCAACACTTTAATTGCTATTATTTAATTTAAATAGCATCATCTTCACTATTTAATTTTAAACTCTTATTAACATGTTAAAAATTATACTTCATGCATAAAAGTTTTAGTCTTTGGATTATGAAATAGTAGAAAAATACAACCAGTAAACACAGACCTTAGCAGAAAAGTTGCATTGCTTTACATGCATTACAGTTATTAACACAATCTTTATTTGCACTGCATCTATATTAGTAAAAGCATATTTGCTTTAGTAGAGCTTATATCTGTATAAGTGTATCAAAACAAGACATTTTACTGTTATGATTACTGTTGTAAAACCCAAAGATTCTAATCCTAATTAAATAGACTGTTTTGAACAACTGGAATGTGTACTTTAAAATGCGGTTTTACATATTTGAATGCTTGTGAGCATTAATTTTTAATATTCTGTTTTATTGCAGTTGTTAGAGGGGACAGTACATGCATTTTTATTCCTACTTAAGCTCGAGAAAAAGCCATATCTCTATATTGCATTCAGCAAAAAATGGTCTCATTCTTCAGGCACTGGCTATTACCAAGCACAGAATCAAAATTCCCCTGTGAAAACGCCAGAGATAAATTAACCATGTGTTTGTTGGTGCTGGAGATGGAGAATGCTTATTTTGGCCTAACTTTTCAGAGGAGCCTAGAATTTACCATCTTGTTTCTTTACCACCTTGCCAAAGCATTCTGAAATGATTTTTGTGGGCTTGGCACTTAAAAAATTGTGAGTTTTGGGTTCCTCCAAGCAAAGGTCCCAAAGTGCTGCCTTTGGAAGCCCAGGTCTTCATTCACTGCAGGGTTTGTACGACAGTGAAGGCGATTTTCCGAGAACACAGAATCAGTTTTTGTGTGAGATGGAATGAATCTGTGTGAGGAGAGGAGCAGGTCTCCTCCTGAAGAGTGCAGTGCTTCCCCTGCTCAGCAGTTTACGAAAACTGGGTTATGCCCATTGATTGTACTAAAAAACAATGCACCAAGGCACACAGCTCGACAATTTTGAGTCCTGGCTCAGAGGATTGCCCGCTATTTTTAGTGGCAGCTCTCCCTGACAGCTCCCTGTTAACCTGATGGCCATGGCCATCCATTAAATGCTCACAGAACAAGCTGCAGCAGCACACAAAAAGCTTCTGGAATGTTGAATTCTTACCTGTCCCACCTGTTTTGTCTTTGCTCCCAACTCGTGTGTTCGTGCACCGGCTTTGCCACCCCAACCCCGGGACACCTCGGCCAGGCCTTCACTACTCGGTGCCCTCGTGTCACTATGGGAATCAGCCTTCTACTTATGGGGTCATGGCAGGTAAGGGGTCAGCCCTCCATGGGGTGGACTGTCAGCATGTGGATTTCAGCCAGCTTTCCTCTGGAGGGACCARTCTGAGACAATTGTTTAAATAAAATGGGATTTGGATTAAGGCACTWGAAAAAGGGTTTGGAAATTAGGGATCAATGCCCAGTTTCCCCAAATCTCTCCTGAAATCACTCTGTATTTTATCTCTGCCTACAAGACTGGGAGAGTGCTGCTGTTTTTGCTCACCTCTGGCCACTTCTCCTGGTGATTGTCACTTTTTGAGGGACCAGGAGTGACATTCCCAGTACACAGTGTGTTACCAATACCTGGGCTGATGAAGCCCTGACTGAATCTGCAAAATAAAATAAAATGATGCCATAATGAAAAGACAGCTGAATTCAGCAGGCAGATCAGATGTGTGATCATGGATTTTTATGCTCATGGATGCATTCTGCTAATTTTTCCATGTCCATGGCTCAGTAAGAGTGAGGCACTTTCATTCTGCGCAAATTTAAGTAGCAATCAATGAGATAATGACATGAACCAAATTAACATAACTCCCAGGAAATAACTGGGACTTGTAAATAATCCAAAATCCAACTTAGAATTTTATTTCCTGTAAGAATTAAGGAAATACTAGAGTAAATTAGCGTAGATTAATATATAAGCATATTGACAGAGAGTGAGACTTCCTTCACAGTGTGCAAATTTCCAATTGTTTCTATTCCATTGTGCATTTKTGTGTCTTTTGCAAASATTCCTGCCATTGTTCAGATCCCTRGGGAAAGTTAATAAGTATTTAAATAAAATATATTGCTCAGAAATTAATTTTTATTCTTCTCCTTTCTTTTCTTTTTGTACTTACTTTTATTTTTAGGTATCAAACCTGCRACTCCAGAGATGCTCTCAGCAAGTCTCTCCCAGACTCGCATCTTGCAGACGTGCAGCATGCCSCACCCCAATGTGGTAAATGGTGTCAGCACCTTGCAAAGCAAGTCCATTTCTTTTAAAGTATTTTTCATTGTCCTTTGAGATTTTTTTGTGGGTTTTGTTCGTTTGTTTGTTTG